AAGAAGCCCTTCTTTGATGCACAGCTGTGGGATCTTCGGAAGTCCAAACTTCGTCGGAGGAAGCAACTGAAGGACATTGAGAGGAGGCTCAGAGATGAAGCCAAGGTTGTCCTCTTTCAGCAGTGGAAACAGTCCAGCAAGGGGAGCGTTGATCCTCTCCTCTCAACTACATTCTTTGAGTACAACACCAGCCTCATCTGCCACAAATTCCGTGTCTGGGGAGCCCTACGGGTCGAGACCCGTCAACTGCGTTTGAGGCTTCGTTCGGCCAAGCAGAGGCACATCCAGGATTGCTTTGAGCACATGGACGCTGGTGCTTCAGCATCCACCATCTTGCACAAACTGCGGCCGATCACGGGCCCATCGAATCTCAAGAAGCTGAAGAAGGCTGCTTTACCATACCTGCAGAAAGAGGATGGAACCCACTGCCTTGATCCCCATGACGCTAGGGAGGAATGGATCAATTTCTTCCAGCAGATGGAGGGCGGAGTACGACTTTCCAAAGAAGAGCAGCATGATCAATGGGTCCAATCGCTCGCAGCCTTCCGCAGCCAGCGACTTCAAGTTCATGTTACTGAACTCCCAACTCTTTTGGAGCTGGAGCGAGCTTTTCGCAGAGTTCAACCCAACAAGGCTGTGGGCCCTGATGGAATCCACCCAGCAGTATGCCACAGCGCACCTTGCAGGATGGCTCGGAAGTGCTTCGCACAACTCATGAAGTTTTATCTTCATGGGCAAGAGGCCTTGATCCACAAGGGTGGTTGCCTTCATCCCATCTGGAAAGGGAAAGGCCCTATGGACGTTTGCAGTTCATTTCGCAGCATCCTTGTATCCAGCCATGTGGGCAAATGCCTACATCGAGCGATCCGCCAAACACAATGCACTTTCTTTGAAAGAGACTTACAAGCTGAACAGCTGGGAGGGCGCCATCATGTGCCTGTGACCCTAGGTGTCCATACTGTTCGAGCCTATCTCCGACAACATGCTGCTCGTGGACATTGTGTGGGCCTAGTATTTCTGGACCTCACAGAAGCTTTCTATCGTGTTCTTCGTCCACTGGCTATTGGCGGCCCCGTCGAAGACAACACCATCCTGCAAATGGCACACCGTCTGGGCCTTCCGGACGATATCATGCACGACCTTTGGCAACATCTGGCAGATCCACATGCCACGGAGATGGCCAGGCTACCTCCTCAAGCTCAACACGCCCTACGAGCGCTGCACAGTGAAACACATTTTCATCTACGCGGTCAGGAGGACGTTTGCAAGACCAAGGTCGGTTCCAGACCGGGAGACTGCTTCGCGGATGTAGTGTTTTCTTATCTTTGGGCCAGGCTTCTGCACGGCTTGCAAGCACGCCTACATGATATTGGCTTGGACAACCAGATACCATCTCAGGAGACTTTCGACCCCTTCGAGGTTCTCGAGGTCAACCAGACGGCAGGGTTTATTGGGCCCACGTGGATGGACGATCTCTGCCTTTGTGTCTCCGCGGAAGATGCTACTTCCCTTGAACGGAAAGTTTGTCTCAGTACCTCCTTGCTGCTTGCCTCATGCAGACAATTTGCACTGACGCCTAACCTCAAGGCTGGCAAGACAGAAATCCTCTTGTCTTTGCGTGGACGGCACTCCCACAAGGTCAAGAAGAAGTACTTCGGGCCGAATGCCTCGAGATGTATGAGCATCCTGGAGGAGGACACCACCCACCAAGTACAAGTGGTTAGCAGCTATCAGCATTTGGGAGGGCTCGTCCACCACAAGCAAGACAACGTTGCAGAGATTCGGAAAAGGATTGCGATCGCCCATTCCACCTTTTCACAACACCGAAGAACACTGCTTCAAAACCCATGCCTCAGTGTACACCGCAGAGTTGAACTGTTTCGCAGCTTAGTTCTCAGTCGGCTGCTCTATGGTGCAGAGTCCTGGACAATATCCACCAAACAGTTCAAGCACTACTTGCACTCGGCCATCATCCGGTTGTATCGACGTTTGTTGCCAGCCCTACGTGATCAACATGTGACAGATGACGAGGTACTATGCAGCACTGGCTTGCCCTCACCAAGCGAGTTGTTCAGGGCCTGCAGACTTCGCTATTTGTGCACGCTCTTTGCTTGCCATGACGTTGTACCCTGGGGCCTTCTGAACGCAGATGCAGCCTGGCTTGAGCTCATGCGAGATGACATTAACTGGATGTGGCGCCAACTACGGGGAGCCTCTTCGCTCCTTGATCCGGCTGGCCACTTTGAGTCTTGGCGATATCTGCTCCGCTACCATCGACCTTTTTGGAAACGGTTGGTTCGAAGGGCATGTGAACATGCCAGCCTACAGCGGTCCAACCATCACACGGTCATGTCGGCGCACCTTCGCATCCTTGAGCACCTCATTGAGACTGGCCATTTATCTCCAGAGGTTCTTCGCCCAGTTCCTGCCGCTGTACCGGCAAAGCACCTTTTTGGTTGTATGAAGTGCCAGAAGTCCTTTACCAGCAGAGGCGGTGAAGGCGCACACATGTTCAAGGTACACGGCATCCGCAACAAGGTCCGGCGGCTTTTCAACACCACCGCCTGTCCAGCATGCTTGAAAGAATACTTCACACACGGCAAGGTCAAGAACCATCTTCTATACTCTGAGCGATGCAGACGGATCCTCATTGGCCGCGGCCATCGAGTAGAACCAGTTGGAGGATGGGGGTCAAGACAAGATCGAGCACTTGCAGCTGCCCATGATTCGCTGCTCCCTCCCATGCAGAGCGAAGGACCTATGCTTCCCGCTGTTCTTGGAGAGGAAATTCTGCATGACCTTGTTTTGGGAGAAGATATCTATCAAGCTTTAGCGGAGCGTGAGGATTTGCCTGGGCTCATGACCATTGAACAGGTTATCCGCAAGGTGATCCTGGATCGCAGTATCTCATGGTCTACATGCTCAGCTACCTTGTCCTACCTCCTCGAGCACATCACCCATGAGGATGCGGAGACCATCGGGCTAGCATACCAGGACATTGTGAAGACCCTACAGTACCTCAACACAGGGGATGCATGGTGCTTTTTGGGTGCGGTTGATGAGCGGGAGCCTTCGTGTGATGCCATTGATCAGCTTCACAGCACTCTGGCTCGGGAAAGTGAAGTTCATCGACCAGCACCGCTCTATGCTGGACCCCCTAAGGCCTTTGGGCGACATCGCTACGTGCTCCATGCCTTTTCAGGTAGGCGACGGGTAGGGGACCTGCAGTACTTCCTGGACCGAGCAAGCGCCACTGAGGAGAACTTTGTCATCCACACCATTTCATTAGACTTGGTCGTTGACGCCTGCTGGGGAGATGTGAGCAGGATTGAAACGCGGAACTTTTGGCTCCGGGGCATCCGGGAGGGCTACGTTACATCCCTCCTCGCAGGGCCACCCTGCGAGACTTGGTCGAAGGCCCGTGGAGTCACAATTCCGGGCCGACGCTGTCCCCGGGTACTTCGACTTTTAGAGGCGCTCTGGGGCATGGATTCACTCAGTCTCCGAGAACTTCGTCAACTTGGGGTTGGCAACCTTTTGCTGCTCTTCACGGTTGAGGCGCTTGTGCACCTTGCCCTGGCTGGTGGCCATGGCATTTTGGAACATCCGGCCATGCCAGAAGAAGAAGAGAAAGCATCCATCTGGCGTTTGCCCTTGATTGCCACTTTGCTCACATGGCCTGACTTTCGCATTGTTCGCTTGGCGCAGGGTTTGTGGGGCGCTGCATCGCCTAAGCCCACGATGCTGCTGGCACTCAACATGCCTGAGCTCGAGCTCCACCTACGGGCGTGGCAGACTGCCCGAGACCTTCCTCGTGGGGCCTCGATCGGTGTGGATGCGACAGGCCACTGGGCTACCACGAAGCTGAAAGAGTACCCGCCAGCATTATGCAGCGGACTCTGTTCTGCGTTTTTGGGGGTGCACCGTACACATGATACGGATTCCACCCTTGTGATCGGCCAAGAGTTTATCTCCCGTAGTCGGGCCATGGAGGTCTCTGACTACGGTGACGTGATTGGTAAGGATTACGCTGGCTGACTCACACAATCTTCTGTATAGATTTTCTCATGGCCGAAAGGCCGCCTCGCAATGGCCGCATCGAAAGATACTTTGTGCCATCAGCAAAAAAAATACTATATCCCTATCTATAGTATATCAGTATATCCTCTGGATCCCTCTGAATGTATCTAGAGGATTCTAGAGGGATATAGATAGGGATGAAGAGAGGGTATACTATACTGTATCCAGATTCTAGATAAGCCCTTGTTGTTTATCTCTAAACACTAGAAACACCTTATAAGAAGAATGGTTGCAGTGAGCCATCTCAGGGTGGGTCTAGAATACTGCTTAAGTGATACGAGAACCTTGCATGCATTCCAACTTCTATACTGTTGATAAGCTATCACTATATCAGAAGTGGTCTATCTATCTGTATATATATATATTATATACATACACGTACATATGCATATATATATATACATAGGAATACTCAAGACATCTCAACGCTTTTGATACTAAGGCAATGTGATACTGGTCTTGACATTGCCAGTTACCCAAAATCCTTGGCAATCCACTGGAATCCTGGGTGGCTTGAGGGATCATCCTTCCTAATGTTTGGTAAAGACTAGGCTTTGCCCAGCTTTTTGCAGGTTGCATGTCGAATTTATTCGAATTTTAGGGCCAGGCTATTCATTAAAAGATTTCCCCGTGGGAACTGTTCTGGACCGTTCATAGATGCGAATTTAGATGGCAAAATTTATGGCTATCCTCAGACACATCCATCACGAAGCCATAGCCCATTAGCTCGATGATTTCCCTCTTAAAAACACTGATTTTCCATAGCTAGGTTAGATGAAGGTCAATTTCTCATTAAATCCCATCCAAATCCCATTAATCTCCATTACACCCCATTGTTTCCATAGGTTAATTCCAATCTACATCCCATAAAAATCTCATGAAAACCACATGATATCTCCGCGACATCCCACGCGTTGCGCCTGCAGAATCTCCTGCGTCTCGCCAGCCGGTGGCATCTCAACCACGGCCGTGGCTTCCGTGGCACCCAACTGGCGCACGGAATCTCTGGGGAACGATAGCTGGTTGGTGGTTTCAACCTACCCTCTGGTAAACTAACATAGCTATGGAAAGTCACCCATTTTTAATGGGAAAACTCACTATTTCTATGGCCATTTTCAATAGCAAACTGTTACAGTAGTTTACCAGAGGGTACCCAAGCCCTCTGAAAAATGATGGACTTCGTCAATTGGGATCATTAATTATTCACAGTTGGAAAAATAAAATTCATGTTCCAAAGCACCAACCAGATAGGTGATAACGGAAAATATAGGAACATTAACCGGACATCTACCGGCTTACATATGGGAATATTATTGGATAACACTAGTTAAGAGGAATATCCGGGATAACAGTTATTGGAGAACGGATCATCATGCATAACAATGGCCAATATGTGCTGCCAGGAATCGTAAGCAGGTTATTAACTCCAAGTATCAATTCTCGCTGGGCAACTTGTCCCAGTTATGTTGGGAAACCAATGGTGCAAAAAGCGGCGCTAAAAATGGTGAAAACATCAAAGTAGTTGGAACCAATCGTTCAATTTCGCGGGGCTGGAGGCGATAATCGTAAGAGATTTGAAGACATTTCCAACAAACAGCAATAGAGCATTACCTAAGCAAGAGATGTGCTTAGCTTTGCGTCGAAATGTTCTGCAGTTTCTCTTCTGTCCAACTAGGGGAGCCATCTTTTGTTGGTATCTTGCCCAAGGTAGAAACTGTGAATCTACTGCAACTAGCAAACACTTGCAAAATTACATCAAAAAATGCAACATGCAGCAAGATATCATTGAACAAAACCTGTCTGAAAGACCTTCAAAGACATGCACAAGAAACAACACCTTGGAGTCATTCCAATTCTTGGTGTGGCTTTCCAAATTCATTTGCAACTGTCATACTGTTTCTGTACCCATCTTACCTGGTAATTCAACGCCATGGTTTACCAAGTTTACCTCTTCCCTATGGCCATTTGACCATATGCCAATAGCTTCATTGGATTCCCATGGCTGCAGAACCCCTCAAGGCTTGGCGCCCAGAGCGCACCCCAACGCGTTTCGGCAGGAGCTGTTCAAAGTTGCTATCCCCGGGACGTGCCCGGCTCCAGAAGCGAGTGGAATAGTCCTGGCTGAGCACCCGTTGGATTCTGGGGAGGTAGGGCCCTGGTAGGGATTTCCCATAGAATTTTTACATGCCATAGAATACCGGGCTCTCAGAAAACAGTCAAACACTTCGTCTGAGCGTTTATTCTTGCACTAGCAGATGTCATGTTCGTATCATCAAGAAAAGAGCAAGTATTGCCAGTAGATTCCCCGAAATGGTGAATTAACCGATGGGAAATTCAAGAGCACATCTTCAGCAAAGCGATAACCACCTACAGTAATCAATCAACAGAGGTTGTTTTGGTCACTGCTCAAATCCGTTTGAGTTTAAGAGTGGAAAAAATGGGGAAGTTATTCTTAATATAATCAAAACATATCAAACACATTCAAAAACACTTTCTTGACTCAAAACATGAAGAATTATATTCTGTCTGGTACTGTAGTCTCTGGCAATGGACATCCCTCCTGTATATCAACATGGGGATTCTCCCCCATCAGGTTTTACCGTTTCAAAAAAAAAAATGAAGCTTACATTTTCCCAAAAACGCGCAAGCATCATCTCTTCCTTTCAATATTGACAAACGCCGGACTTGGGTTTGTCTTGAAGAATGGGGCACCATTTTTTCCAATGGTGTTTCATGTTTTTTCAATCTTTCATAGCCATGCATGGGGGTTTACCCCTCCTTCATGTGTGTACCCCTTTTGTGCCATGTTGAAAACATGGTAGAAGTAGAATAGTGTAAAGTGCATTGTCATCTATCCTGTATACGAATCCCTTTTGTCATGGATTGATGACCATCCCCCAAGGCCTGTTGGCCGACACCTTCATGTGGTAAACTCAGTAGTCAATCATCCCCAAAATAGCCATGGTAGGCTCACGGAATCGGATTTACCACAGTTTTTTTGGGATTCCCATGGCACGGGATGGATGACTGGATGAACCATACCACCTACCCTCCAGTAATCCAACATGGCCCCGGAAATGGTGATTTACAAATGACTTTCCCATGCAGCTATAAACTTCCATTTACAGGGGATTTCTTAGCCAGCTACGTTTGATTACAGGATAACTATAGGTCAAATATGGTCAGGTGATAGCCCATGAATCAAGTCCGATTCAACCCAAATAAAATCAGAAAAACCCCACATATTGTTGGATTCCCATGAACGTGGACAACCAACCCTGGCTGCCATAAACCTACCACGGCTGGGGATGGTTTATACAAGCCATTTACAGTATATATGGTGATTTTGGGGATCGTTGATGGCATTGGGTGAATCCCACATTAATGATTTACTGTAATGGGAATGAATATGAATGAAAT